CTCTGTGAAGTGTATTAAAAGAAGTCAAAGCCAGAACCTCGTAGCTTTGAAACCGGAAAACTGGATACATTGTAACTGCATGACGGTGATTTGCAAAATCAAATAGGCATTAAGGTATTCAGCAGCTTTGCCTTTATTCAGGAATATAACCAGAATACAACTGTGTTGGATTACAGATGAGTTGCGCTCATTGGCACAGACTGAGATTGATTGAAACATGCTAGCAACCTGTCTGTGTTTATAAAGTAGATGGCAGTTATTTGCGTACCTCTCCGGTCTGTCTGAGAGTGATTACTCGACGTGATCGATGAATGCGAAAAATTCAGTACAATGACCAAGTAAGGAGTCTGACGTCCTGCTGGGACAGAGCAGTAAAGGGAGGGTGTAGTGAACTGCTGTTTGAATTGTAATTCATTTGTGTTTTGGAAAATCCTTAACAATTAAAAACTGATATTAAGAATGTTCTGAATGTTTGCCAACTCTTTCAGGGTGGCGAATCCCAGGTCAGCCTCTCAGATATGACATGCAGTGAAAGCGCCTCGTCATTCCAGTCAGTCAGTCAGGCTTCCACACCGGAGATCCTCGTGGGCCTGGTTTACAACGCCACAACAGGACGTCTCTCTGTGGAAGTCATCAAAGGCATCCACTTCAAAAACCTGGCTGCTAACAAACCACCCAGTAAGTACCTTAAAACGTTTTTTTGTCCAGTTAGAGAAAGAGCAGGAAAACACTTTTAATGTTTCAAATGCTACAGCGGAAGAGGACAAGTTGAGCCTGTGCATAGGAGTTTATCTCCTGTAAACATCTGTAGTCAAAGTCTATATGTTTTACATACTATGTGCTTCCTTACGTTCAGTCAGAGAGGGACTATGCACAGCGTATAACTTCTCCGAATCAGAGATAGTGTACTCTATCTCGGCCACCACCTGCTTTCCAGTTTTCCTCTGGTTTGATCTCTGGTTTCCCTCATTTCCCGGTCAGCCTCCTCAGTCAGCTTCCAGGGATCTGAGCAGCAAGTTCAAACAAAAACTGCCTCTTGTTGAACTTTGTGCAAATGTTGTTGTCGTTGGCCTTCTGACCCTGTTTCTCTTTCCTTGCACCTTCTGTTATGTCTGCACCTGAAACTCTTTCACCCTACTACCTTTTTGACATCTTGGTCCGCTGTTTTTCTTACTGCTGTCCAACCCTTGTTGTCAGATGGACTGTTCTGTTGTCTAAAACACTTGATAGGTGGACAGGTTTATATTATCAGAGGTGAGTTTCTGTTCTTCCCTGTGAAGTGTTATCAGTGTTAATTTCACATCCTTTTTTAAAAAAAATACATCTTCATGGATGCAAATAGATGTAAGTAAATGGAATGACTGTTGATTGGAGACACACTAATTTAACTGGCTTCTATCTTAATATATATATATATCTAATTTGATGCTGTAGTATGTTAGGCTGACTCAATGTCGCCTCAGTCAGTTGCATCAGATGGCTGCCGCTTCCTGAGCTTGGTTTTCCTCATGTCTTCCTCTTAAAAGGGAGTTCTTCGCTCCCACCGTTGCCAAAGTGCTTACTCTTACTGCATCACATGATAATTGTGATTAACTTTGTTTTACAGTATGAAACAATTGTTGCTATAAAAATGTAAATTACATATAACAGCAACTGTTTATGCAATATTGGGAGCCCAAGCTCTTTGCACCCATCCCAAATAAGTTGAAAAAAATGTAACTAAATTCTCTCTTGGAAGCAGTTTTGATAAGATAAGCTTTTCCCATAAAACCTGAAATATGACTTTCTTTAAATTCATGTAAACTTTGGACCATAGGACTCTTATTGCATTTAACTCTCATCCATGAAGATGCTCGGCTGTTGTGCTGTAAGTCTTCTTGCTGTATTTCTGCATGCGTATCACATCACGCATGCATCTGAGATCCCCCCTCCTGGCCTCCTTTGCCCGTTTCTTGTGTTGCCTGGAAGTCCTTCGTGTTTTCACTCAGCCTTTTTCATGCTATGTCAGTCTAGTTTTCTTGGTGTCTGATAGCCAGCAAGAAGGAGATGCTGTCATTGAGTGCTGGCCTAATTCGAACAGTACGCTTTGCACATTTTACATTTTTCGGCTTTGCTTCCAGCATATGAAACATAAACAGGACTTCTGAGTTGCATAAATATTCATCTAAAATCCACACTGTACTGTCCTCCCATTAATTGCCATGTTCCATGTATTCGTGAATGTCTCTAACTAATAACTAGCTGTCAGATTTTGATATTGTTTGTACATTCCTGAATAGCATATCCACATACTTCATAGTCTTCAAATTGTACTTGGAAAATAGTCGCATCTGGCAACACTGAAAAAAACCTTTGTGCAAAATCCTCACGAAGGCCTTGATTGACTTTGTGCGTCCTCACAAAGTGGAAAGAGCACGGTGAAAGATGCGGAGCAATTTCAAAGCTTCTTTTCTGCCATTTCAAAACAGTACCGAGCCGACGAGTCAAGTTAATCATCAGCCGCAGCCCCTCTCATTCAGCAACAATGCCAAAGAGCCATGCATCACCGCTACTGACCACTTAAGACATCCACAGCTCTACAGAGCCCATTCAGCAGCAGTCAAAAAAGAAATCAAGGCTATTTTTTTCACTCTGCTTTTATGTCAAAGAGAGCAACTGAATGTGTGATTGAAGGCGGTGAGCTAGGCGTTGGAAGGCAGCTGGCACTCGACAGCATGAAACCCTCAGCAATTCATTCCTTATACCCCTCTTAGACTGGAACATAATACACAGCATTATTACAGAGTATGGTTGTAGACGAGGGGCGAAACACTCTCAAAGATCCATTGTGATTGCCAGTCTTGCCTCGCTTACTTTCCGCTGGATTTATGGCTTCAGTTTGTGCCGTGATTTCTGCATTGAAATGAGGAGTGAATAAGGAAAGCGTGAATGCTGAAATCACTTGATAATGGCAGTGTTTTTCCTTTTTGCTTTTTCCTCTTCTGGGCTAAATGAATGAGCTTTATCGGGATTTTGTTTTTTGGAATGTGATCAGCGGGGTAATAAAAGGTGGAAAATGTCGCAAACTGCGAGTATCAGCAGTACAAGTCGTGCTTCTAAGCTCAGAATTCTTAAATACTTTAATCCTGACTCGATATATTATGTTCTGTCTTTGATTGCTAGGGTCTTGAGCTAAATATGTTTTTTCATATCTCATCTGAAAGCTTCATATAACATATTAGAATTATGCACCATCAGTCGTACTAGTAGCAAGTGCTTTTTCTGTTCTGTTTCACATTAAAAGCCCCTATATGCATGAAAACCTGGCAACATGCTTGCATTAGTTGCATAACGCAACTATTAAAATAAATACTAACAAATGAAATTATCATTTTTATTCATCAGATTATTAAAAAATAGATTATTTAAAGAGTTTCTAGTGCAGCTAAGGGGCAGAGGGCTGTAGGGTTTTTTGCAGATCATTTGGTTGTGCAAGCTTCCTTGAGTAATGAGAGCCGGCGCCTCCAAATTTAAGGCCACAGTTCTCAGCCAGACAATGGTGGATTGCCCACTCCAGGTTGGAGATGAATTGCTGCCCCACTTGGAGGAGTTCAAGTACGTCGGGGTCTTGATAACAAGTTGCGCCTCAAGTGGACGCGTTCGATTGCCTCTGGGTCTTGATAAGGAGCTGGGGAGGAGTGGAACAGGAGGCTAGCAGGATTGATGCATCAATGCAGACGATGTGCCACTCTGGTGAAGAGCGAGCCGAGTGTGAAGGTGAAGCGGCCGATTTACAAGCGAAATTTCAATGAAGCTGTGTAAAATAAAGTCTCATAAACTCTTATTTTATTCACAACAAAACTTGGAGAGAATTCACTATTTTAAGGAAAATATTGGCACATTTTATACTTGATGGCAGCAACACGCACTAAAAAAGTTGGGACAAGATCAAGTTTACTACTGTGTTATTTTAACACCAGTCTGTAAACATGTGGGAACTCATGACACCAATGCTGGGCTTCTGCGAGAGGAAGGTCGTCCCATCCATGTCCGATCTGTTGTTATGGATGCAGACCTCTCTTTAAAAAGATGCGAGCAGATTTGTAGGCAGCCAAGTCCGTAGGGACTAATACACCCCATAGCATCAAGCATGCAGCTTTTGAACAGCGCTGATAACAATCTGGATGTTCCTTCTTCCCTGTAGTCTGAAGGCTGCAGCGTCCAGAGCCTTAACCTGCATTTGTGGATGGCACAGTGAACTGTGTTCACAGACAGTGATTTGTGGAAGTGTTCCTAAGCCCATGCACTGATTTCCATTAAGCAATCATACCATTTTCAAGGGCATCCAATACTGATTTTTGGTCGTGTCCCTCACACACAAAGGTTTCTGCAGATTCTTTCATTAGATATTTGGTGCTATAGATTATAACATGTTGACAGTTTTGAATTTTGCGTATTCTGAAATTCTTCCACAGTTTGCAGACAGGTTTTTTTGCTGTCTGGTGAACCTCTGCCTGTATTTACCTCTGAGAAACTCTGCTTCTCTAAGATGCTCTTTTTATGCTACTGACTGTTGCAAATGAACTTATTTGCAAAATGATCTTCCAGCTGTTTCTTTGTAATATCACGAGACGTGTTGCTGCCAAAACCATTCAAAATGAGTCAAAAAGTAACAAACATATGACCTGTTTTTCTCTGTTGTATTGTGGATGAAATATGGGATTATGAGAAAAGCAAATTCTGAATGTATTTGCATTTTACCCAGTGACACAACTTTTTTTGAGTTTGGAGTTGTACCAGTCCCTCCTACCTTCACAGCCAAACTCTGTGGGCAGTGCCCGAAAGAATACGTTTGCAGAAAAAAGCAGTGAATTGAAGTTCCTCCCATGAGTGTTTGGGCTCTCCAGGGGAGTAGCTCAGCCATTCAGAAGGAGCTCAAAGTGGAACCACAACTCCTACAGACTGAGAGACCCAGCTGAGGTACTTCTGGCATTTGAATAGAATACCTCCCAGTGAAGTGTTTCACCATTCTGAGTCTGCCCTGGACACACTGGGAATTTATGGAAAAGCAATACTAAACACATTTTTAAAAATGATTTTCTACAGATATATAATTAATAACAACGTCAGTTTAAGCTTTTCTGAACAAGTTTCTGGCATGATGGAAGAACAACGCGTGTGCCCATACACAGAAAAGAGTCTGCTTGAGAGAAATAGACCTTAACGGGAAAACTGAAGAAGACCTCTTTGCATAGTGAAAGAAAAATAAATCCAGTGAGAATCTGCGTTACAGTAAGTGTCTATTGCCAAAGTCATAAGGGCAAATGCATGGCACCCAAAAAATCAAAATAAAATCGATATATTTCTTTATTTCCTTCTGAACATGATACAGGTATTGGTCATATTAACACTTTAATGCTGGCAAGAAATGTTTTAAATGGAAGCAGTAATCACATTTGTAGACATGCATGAAACAAATGGAGTTTCCATGAGCAGTGGCGTTCAATTCATAAATCATGAAAAACACTCAGTGCAACAACTTAACCGTCTTATTTTTCCCGGTTCTTTTCTGTTACGCAGTTCCTCCTTCAAGACTTTTTCGAATGTCTCGTATTTCCCTTATGTTTCTGACACCTCTCACCCAGATTCTCATTTAGTGTCAGCAGACCCGTATATCCTGCACAATATGTGAGTCACATTTTGGACAAAGCACGTCTTGGGACTGCCTCGGGCTCTAAAGTTTTAGCATAAGTCATTATGTCAAATAATAGCAGCTCTTCATGGTAATTTGTGATGAACCACGTAACCAGAATTAATTAATTTTGGCTACATGGTTCATTTCAGGAGCTCCTAATCCTTTCAAACACAAGCAAACGTATGACTAACTTTCTCCAGTCAGTTTTCATCTTCGGCATTATCCCCCATTTCAGATTAGACATCAGTAGTCGCATAGCAACAAGACTGAAGTAACGCTCCCTGCGCTCACAGCTGTGCTTTGTGTTTGATCAGGAGAAAAAACGCATCCTATGTGGTCATGCTCTTATATATCATCCGCTGTGACGTTATTACAGAAGTGAATGCTTTGTGGGGAAAATGTGTCATTCTTTGCTGCAGAGGAAGCAGCTGCAGCAGGTCGTCATGGCTGATTGCTAAGAGGAAAGGTGAAGAAACATAAGGATTTTGCACAAAGGGTTTATTATTTAAGTCTGGTGCTTGAATTATTTTCTTTCCTTTTTTTTACTACTACAAAGTTATTGTAGAATCTCAAAATATATAAAGATGTATCATTTCCCTTGTAACTCTCTCCTCCACCTGCTTCCTCTCTAGATACATATGTTAAGCTGACCTTACTTAACTCCATGGGCCATGAGATGTCCAAGTGTAAGACCTCCATCTGTCGAGGTCAGCCCAACCCAACCTACAAAGAGACGTTTGTCTTCCAGGTAGC